CGTCGGGTGGTTTTAAGAGAAACATCGGACCCAAGGTGGGTATCTTGGCCAGATAGCATTTACTAGTTCTGGTTAGAGCGTCTCTCACATTGTTTCGGCACCAGTCTGATAGGTGTATGTAACTTCTGGTTAGGGCTATTAGGGTCATTATGTGTGTGGATTATAATCCGACACTGTATCTGGACAGGAGGTAGTATTGTTGAGAATACTACCTCCTGTCCAGAATACTCCGGGTGAGGACGGAGAGGGAGGAGGATGAACCCTTTAAAATCTATTTGCTTTCAAGAGCCGGTAGATATAAAACTGGCAGCCCACTCTGAATTAAAATGTCTTGGGCTTCTCTGTTTTTATCCTTATTTCACACACACATGCACACACACGCACACACTCACACGCACACACACCTTTTATTTTGTTCTGCCTTTGCCACAGTGTATAAAGCCCTATTGAGACATGTAGGCGTGATGTGTAAACCGGATTAGCAGTATGAAAGAAAGACATACAATGAGCCTGGATTGTTTTACTTCCTTTTCATTTCTCACGCCTATATCTCTAATAAATTTGTTGCTCCAGCAGTGGGTCAAAGAGATCGTGTCGCTCAGCTTTTTTTTTCTGCAAGACCCGATGGCAGAGATCATGAAAATGAATGCCCTGCCTTCTGCCAATGCAAGACTTGAGCTGTATCGTTACACAGACCCGGTGTTGTGCGGGCTGGCTAAAAACTGTTCAGTGTAACTTTCCCCCCCTCTACGCACGTTAAAGTCCTGCAAGTGGCAGGGCATTTTGCCAGGAAAAGAATCTGTTTTGAAGACGACTTGGGCTTTTAGAGCTAAAGCCCCTCGCGGAGTATGACAAGGTCTGCTGGGGCTGGGATGTCCTCCAGCTTTTGGAGGGAGAGGGCCGCTGCTCCTGCCGCTGTCCTCCGCAGCTCCCCGGGCGCTCCGGTCCTCCCCTGGGCGTCCGCTGCTGCGCTGGAGGAGCACAGCGACCCCGGAGGCTCCTCTGGAGGTTCATTTCCCCGCAGCCCTCCGCGGAAGAAAATGCCAGCGCTCCTGGGCTGGTGCTGTAGATCCCTCATTTGCTCCTTTGTGGCGTGCAGAGCAGCTTTCCATTAAAGGAGATCAGGGGTAATTAGCCGCATTATTTTGACAAGTTGGCTCGAGCAGTTCCCTTTCTTCCAGGGCTGAGGAGGGGGAGAGGGCTAGCTTCGTGCCGCCGCCTCCTTCCCCAGGCGCGGGCGCTGCGCGGCGGCGCTGCCCTGCGGAGCGGCTCCCCGCTGCGCGCTGCCGCCCCCGGACTGCAACCCCCGCCTGCCCGGTGGCGAGCGGGGCACTACGAGTGGAAACGGAAAGGCTCGGGCTGCTCTGCGAAACCCAGTGAGGGTTCTGCCCCGTGGCCTCGTGTGATGTCAAAGCCGGTGTCAGGCGTGCGTGGGGAGCTCAGGGCCGAGGCAGACCTGTGCCCTTGTGCCATGAAAACGTGTGTTAGAGGCAAAAATTTGAGGGAATAGTCAAAATCAGGTTATTTTCCCACAAGTCCTTCTGCCATGGTCAGCTCTCTTGTAGCCCCTGCAAAAGGAAGCCAAAGTGCTGGTGCTTCGTTTCTGTGTCGTGTCTTTATTAAAGTAATCAGATGCTCCAGCAGTGCAATGCTCTTGCTGTTGTGTCCACAGGCGATAAGCAACTGGAAAAATGCGTTAAAGTAAAATCGGTGTAAATACCTTTGTTAACGTCTATTGGATTTGATCCCTCATCTGGCTGGAGGAAGTGTGAAGCTCTGCAGTATTTGGGGTTATGAGCACAAAGTTGACCTAAGTAAGAGGCAGAGCATTACAAAATGAAGCCGCTATGACCAAAGCGCTGAGGTTGTTGTACGCCAGCCTTGGCTGTCCAGGAATCAGGAGGACCAGGTATAAAAGGTTGCAGACTACAGCCACTCTACACAAGGAGACACCTTCCCAGGCCTTCACCGCAGAGCAAGTCCAAGATAAGAAATCTGTGGGATCCCTGCGAGTTGGTGAAGGTGGAAAAAGCCCTTGGTGTGGAGGAGCAGTTGCACACACAGGGCATGCATATCACAGCCAGCAGTGCTTACAAATGTAAATAAGGGCAGATCGATTAGGAGCAACATTACCGCCAGGAATGTAGCAGGCAGGTATCAGCTATGAGGCAAATTCGGGGCAGCCACTGCTCTGACCACCCAAGTGGAGACTTTTACACTGACACTTCTTCCTTAAGGAAAAAAAAAATACAGAAACAAGACCAATTAGATCCCGGCAGTAATTCATCTCTTGTGTATGCTTAAAAAAAAAAAAAAATCCCTCCAGACCACAGGGAGAGAGGGGAGATTAAGATAGCGCTTGTTAAATTCGAGTCTTCAGCCTGAGTTTTGGAACCGGGAGCGAGGACTGACGGCCGCTGGGCTATTGTGTGAAGCTGAGCAGGCAGGAGGCAGGCAGGAGCCAGGCAGGGCAGCTCTGGGGGCTCGAGGTTCTTGAAGGGACACTCTTCCCCGGTTTTGGAGCCTGCGGGGAGACTGAACCAAAACGCCTCTCCACCCATCCCATCCTTGTTCATCCCCCAGCCCTGCCACCCCATCAGACCCTGTGAGGTTGAACGGGGGCAGGAGCAGTGGCACATCAGGTCCTAGCGAGACGGACGGTCACTTTCCCAAGCGGAAACTTGAATTAGAGGCGGCCGACTGCATCCCAGGTGCGGGTTTCAGCCTCCAACAGAAAACAGCCTCCAGCTCCAACCCCTCTAGGTTTCCTTCTGCCGTATTTATGCACCTACGTGTGCGTGTGCGACAGCCTGCTGCTCCCAGCAGCTTTCCCGGAGACAGTCCCGTGCGGAGCGCAGGGCCGGGCCTTCACGGAGGCAGGTTTCCCAGCGTGGGGAAAACGGAGGTGGGACGTAGAGGAAAGGAAAAGGGACTCCCACACACCGGCGGCTGTGA